AAAGGGGTCTGTACCACGGACTATAATCAACAATATCTTAAGAGTATTCAATTATATATGTCTGATAATTTTAACAAAATCATGAACCAAAAGATATAATTCTGCTTTTGTGTTTTAACATCTTATAGTAATTATTTATAATTACTTCACTACTCGAAGTTGTAATTACAGATTATACATTATCCTACTTTGCAATTAACAGCTGGTGTAGCTTATTAGTCTTTATAATTAGGAATATATTATGTTATTTAAAATATATGTGTTCATAGAAAACGTTTTTGAATAATGTTTTTTTTTTTTTATCATAAATCCGGATGTTATTCAGTTAACCAAATTAACTTATTCATATTCATCATGTGCACCGAAGAGACAAGGTTAATTCAAAATTAAAACTAGTTAAACCGCGGTAATGTTCCTGTATTATTAATAATTATAACAATTAATAATTGATTCTAATAAATTAAAAACAAGAGACAGAACATAAATGTTAGCTTATTACGATGTTGGATTAGCTGTTATTTTCTGTTCGAATGATGCCTGAATTGGCGAAACGTTGACGGTTTTTTTTGCCTGTATTTTGTAGAAATAAGACAGTGTGGTTTAGAACTTTACCAATATAACCTATCATTAATAATTAATGCATTTTTAATATTTTATAATACTTAAAGCAAAAACTTGTCTAGATAATCATTTATTTTCCATAACCTGACAATTACTAATGTATTAATGCATAAACGATGTAGTGAAACTAGCGTTATTCGGTATAATTATGACATATTAATATTTTATTATACTTGATATGTCAGCCTAATCTCAATTAACGTCATGAAACTCAGTGAAAACGTCGCACTGTCCTTATATTAACATTACTAATATTATTATAATTTCGATATTAAAGTCTGTCAGTTACGCAAATTTAGTTGGTTTTCACAAATATAAGGCTGAAGAGAGAATCACTTTATTATCATAAAATAAAATAAAATGGTGCTGCCCAATTACATTGGGTTGCTAACAACACAGCATACTTATTAATCACTACAGACATTATTTAAAATTATTATACAATTATAGGATTAACAATATGTATGAGCATAGTATACAATATTTTATACGTATATATATATATATTATTTTTTTTCCTTTTTTTTTATAATTTTTACTATTTCTTTCATTCATTTATTATCATTCTGTACACTTTCTCTTCCTTCTCTCCCCCTATACATGTTCCCACTCACATTCTCTCCTCTCTCTTTCTAACCTAATACATAAAAAATACATAAAGTACAGTGGACGTGTTCAATAAATAATAATATAAAAAATGCTGTAACACACGCATGCCTCCTCCCCGCGAGCAAACTCTCTCCCTATCCGCTCCCATGCACATGGTGGTGGATGATTCCCAGGGAGTCGAGGATTATACTCTCTGCCAACCTTGCCACGTCCTTTATGAAGGCCCTCCATGAAGCTCTTTGTTGAGTCTGGTATCGTTCCGCGAGCTCCGAACCAAAGGCCTCTCACGTGAAACTCTCTCGGCCCGAAACTCTCGCGGAACTTTTCACTAAGGAATGGGATGCATTTCTCATATATCTGTTTTATCTCCCTTTCCACTTTTTCTGCCTGATCGAGGTCGTTGGTCTCATATCTCACGGTCGGATCCAAAATCATCGCCGACTTTCCCGTCTTAGGGAATGCTACAATGTCGGCATATCGGGTGGATCCATCCGTATCTATACAATATACTTCCTCGAAACAGGCGTATTCTCTCTCTTCAAGGAGCCTCATCAGTTCATACTTGACTCTGTGGTGACGGCGTGTTATAAGGAGTGATTTGTTGGGGCATTTTCCAAGCACATGTGCTGGTGTTTCTGGCTCTCTGTCGCATTTGCGACAGAGGGACCCAACTTCTCTTACCTGTCCGCTGACACCTGGGACTCCACGCAGGGGAGCATAATTAATATTTAGTTTCAGGGCATTTGACCATTCAGACCCAGAAAGTACTTGCTTATCATACATGTATTTATTGGCTTTCGGGGTCTCTTTAAAATGGCGAACTCCAATGCCCTGCCACCTGCAATTGGTCCATTCCTCAAACGAATTTTCTCGAAGCGACTGCCGTAGAGCTCTCATATTCCGAATACCCCGATCAACCCCCAATCTCTCGGCACATTCATCAACCTCAGCCGAATAATCAAAGATCGACTGAAAAAGGGCATCGGGCACATTGGACAGTCGCTGAGCAATGGACCAATGTTGTAGGGAGCCTCCCATTGGCAGCGGATTAATCCTAATCCTCGATCCCTCCTGGGAGAGTACAACATCGCCGTGGAGGTGTTCGCAGGGAGTCCAACAATAGCCTTCACACTCCTGCGAATCATGGTGTCGATGCCGTCAAGTACGGCAGGACGCAGCTTTGTGAGGGGCGCAGTTTGGAGAGGGTAAGTAAGACCCGGGAACAGATATTGGTTGACAATGTTTAGCTTCTGCTCCGGCTTCAGCAAGGGAGAGGTTACCAGTTTATTCAGGTTTTCGTTCAATTTGGTCACCGAATCTTCGTTGAACTGTAGCTCTCCCGAGAATGTACATCCTAAATACTTGATTGTATCTCCATTCTGCATTGTTTGGATGTACTCTCCGTTCTCAAGGGAGAGCATCGCGGTTTCCAGCTCTCCTTTATTTAGAACGATGCCCACGCTTTTTTGAGGATTAATAGCCAAACCAATTCCCTCAAATGTCCTCTGAACGCTGCCGATCACTCTTTCTGCAGCCCCCTTGTCACGCGCTGACACGGCCTGGTCATCCGCGAAACCTGTGAGGACCACACAACCTTGGTCACTTTTTAACTTGTATCCAAATTTTTTGGAAAATTCTTCATCGCACAGGTCGCGATAGAGATGGTCAATGGCCAGGTTGAAGAGCGACGACGACAAGGGGCCGCCTTGGGGTACCCCGCGCAGCACTTTGATTTGGCTAGTTGCGTGAACACCGTTACTAATTTTGATTGTGTTCGTGCAGAGGAGAGCCGATATAACGTGTTGAAGATCCGGCGACACACCTCTTGCTTCCAAGTAGCTCACAATATGATTGTGGCCAACATTGTCAAAAGCACCGACAACGTCAAGGAATACCACCGCACAATCTTTTTTCATAATCTTTGCATCTTTCAATACAGCGTCTATAATCCTTGCGTTGACGTGCGTTCCCGGGAGGCCTATTATAAAGCCTCTCTGATTCCTGTGGAAGGTGACCTGTTTTCTTAATTCGTGATTGTTATAATGTTTCTTAATTTTTCTATTGTTATATACTTTAATTTATTTATTTATTTATTTTTTACTCGTAGCATTACCGACCTTTTGTGCCTTGATCAGCCTGCTCCATCTCTGCCTGTCTTGGGCTATTTCTTTATTTGGGTTATCTGCATGCAACTCAATTGCATCATTGTTGATTCTATCTTTCCATCTATCTATCTGGTCTTTGGTCATCCACGTTATCATTTGCCTTCTATTTAGTCATTCGTTGTTGTGTAGTGACTTCCAAATGCCTTGATCCGAACTAAAAGCCCCGTCCATCTTAACTTACTTGCTTTCATATCATGTATTATTGATTGACTAGTTTCTGATCTATTGTTATATAGACTAGTCTTTACCAAAAAAAGAAAGTCGTTACATTTCCATCCGCTTAAAACCAAATCCTGAAAGATAATAAATCTCATATATTTTTGTCCGATTTTTATTGATATATGGCTAAAATTATAATCAATGTTTTTAATGTACTGTAAATAACATGTTAAAGGTTAATTTTAAATATTTTTTTTGGCAGGAATAGCGAATAGCCCTCCGTTTTAGTTGGGGAACTAGGTTATTTACATTCGTGATTATTAAAACAAAACCCGGCACTGGATATAGACTTTTTGAGGATGTTTAACTGTGGTTGGGAATTGCGGAATCTAATACCATTTGAGACACTGAGTGACAAGAAACAATAAGAATTATATATATATATATATATATATATATATATATATATATATATATATATATATATATATATATATATATATGAAATGTGGGACTGAGTAAATACACTTTGAATGAATTGACTCACCTGGTTTGTTATTCTTCAATCGTGAGTGATATAGGACAACTAAATAAATAAATGACTTTTCACTCCTGTATAACAAAATAATTCATTTCTACAACTATAATAAATTGACTCTATTAAAGTGTTATAACTATAGACTCCATCTTCTAAATCTTGTAGTATACTTCTTACGTCGTACCGCCTCAACGTCCCAGCCTCATGTTTTCTCGCCTCCGTGTCCCAGCCTCAAGTGCCTTCTTCTCTCCCTGGCGTCCTTCTCCAGCTGTTGCTACCTGCTCCGCCCCTTCCGTACTTCCAACCTTCTTCGTCGACTGTTTATCGATATGAGACTTTTCGATGAATAATTTGTCCACTGCACAATTGAGTACAGTTCACAGTTCAACCTCACATTCCTATATATTCCTTCTCATTCCCTCACACAATGTCACATAAAGGAGTAAATACTGGGGACTGTCTACTACAGTACTTCTTTAAAGCAAAAAAAAAAAAAAAATATATATATATATATTTGTCAATTAATTAATTAACTGTTGAGAGTTGTCCATAACAAAATCACCCTTCTTTTAAGTCGTTTCTAATATATTAAGGAGTTTATCACTGCGCTATAATGACTCAAACGATATAATCACTACATGCTCTGGGAATCATTACCCTCTCCCAGATCTATATTATACGATTTTTTTTTTGTTAATAAAGATCGTATGTCGTGTTTAATATAGAGCGATCGGTAAGATACTTAAGATATCTACGGATTTCTCTTTATGATTCTCGGGTAACGCTGTTTTTTAAAGGAAAGTATAATGACTAAAATATTCTCGTTTAAAAATAATATAGCGTATATATATAAGTATATTAGATTTTATTATTATTTATAAGTAATATTAATTTTTTTATTTATTTACCCAGTCCAGAGGACGAACTCGATGTTGTCGCCGTGCTTCGCTCTCATGGCCCGTGCTGCGGACGCGACTAGTTCCCAAGGTGAGTCGCAGTTGTAGTCTCCGTACCTGCCAGGCTTCCTGGAGGGTATGGCGTTGTTGGAAGAAGTTCTCCAGCAATCTGAAAAAGTAAAAGGATTATAAGAATAAGAGAGATGTGATACTTGTGTTTTTTTCTGAAACAATTATGATTTCTGGTCAGCATAAACTTGAAGTAAATATATATATTTTTTTTTTTAAACAAGAGAGAAGAAACAACACAAAATAATAATAATAATAATAAGGCTTAGCGAACCCGAAGGTTCGATGCCGACACCACCAATCGCTTGTTACACACCTCCCTCCACCGTTCGCCGTCCAAACCCAGTCCCTTCAGATCGGCTTTAATGCAATCCTCCCACCTTCGCTTCGGTCTATCCCTCGGACGCTTACCATTCGGCACAGCAAATATTAACCTCTTAGGAATTCTCTCGTTACTAAGCCCAACAACTTTACAAGCCCATTTGATTCGACGCGATGAAATTACCTCAATTATATTACCCGGATACAGCTCACGCAATTCGGCGTTGTGTAACCGTCTGAACTCTCCGGTTAACTCATCCTTCTTCGGTCCGAATATTCTACGCAATACTTTATTTTCGAAAACCTTAAGACGCTGCTCATCCCTTAATGTAAGCGGCCAAGTTTCGCATCCATAAAGAACTGTAGGCAAGATAATTGTTTTATAGATTCTAATTTTTAAGTTTCGGGACAAGAGGCGCGAACTAAGTAGTTTTGTCACAGAAAAATAACAAGCATTCCCCGCCTTCAGTCTAACCTTAATCTCTTCTTCAATTTCGTTTTTTCTAGTTATCGTAGCACCTAGATACCTAAACTTATCTACCTGTTCAAACATATTACCATCTATATCGATATCACCAGTAGTATCGCCATTTTTGCAGCTAACCATATATTTTGTTTTATTCACGTTTATTTCGAGTCCTAGTTCTTTACCGGCTTCCATTAACGTTGTCGTATTTAGTTTTATAGTTTCAACGTCTTCGCTTAACAATACCAGATCATCAGCATAGCCCAGCACGGATGTTGTCCCGCCCAGATCCAACCCTTTCTCGGTTCGCATTACCTCCCTAATGGCATGTTCTAATGCCAAATTAAACAGGACAGGCGAAAGAGAATCCCCCTGTTTCAAGCCCGAACGAACCTCAAATTTTTCGGACAAATTATTACCGATTCTAACTTTATTGAGTGTCTCCGTCAAGCACATCCTGACTAGATTTACTAGTTTTTTTGGAATCCCCTGCTCGATTAGAATATTATACAGTTAGAAACAACACAAACACACACAAAATGAAAATACATGTTAGTACATAATTGGAATACTCTAAAATCAAGAACAGTAAACAAGAAACCAGCCAATAATTCAGGAATCTTGGCTCACTTGGCAGATAAATTATTTATTCTATTTCATTGGCCGTGGATCGATCCTGGAGTCGAGAAGCCCCCTTGAGGCACACTCAGCCTCTATAAAGTGGGTACCTTTAATTATAGAGAATTGATTAAGGAGAAAAACCTGGCAGTTGAGCGTGATCTCGGTTAGATCACCTCTTTGCTTAACCGTTGAAACAGCACCTTCCCTGCATATTACTGAACCCAAGATCTTTCATGGATCGTAGTGGTACAGGTATTTTTTTTTATTTATAAAGATATTTTCATATTATATAATTTTATTTAATCATTTCTTTTTCTTCTATATATATTTGATTTTTTATTTACATGCTTCTTTAATTAAAAAAAATAGATTATATATATCGGCGATGCCGATCCCTTTTTATGAAATTATTAAAATTCGTATAAAACATCGTAAATGGCCTTATCTTTCTTAACCCACAACTTTTTAATTCACGAAAATTCTTAGAAAATCATTTTTAATCTGTAGATCGGTAAACTTTGTTTGTTTGTTAAGCTGCTAAAACCTCATGATCTACCATTTGCTTTCTGTTTGAATCGTAAGATAATTTGAACAAAAAAGCGAGAAAAAAGGTGTACAAAAATATAATGCCGTCTAGCGTGGTCTCCACTTACACATGTCAAAATAACAAGGTTATTTAGACCGATATTTGTTTAAGCCACCTTTTTCTCAATTTTGTCATTAAATTATATTACAAAGGAAGGAGATGGTCCGGGGTGCCTGTTATAAATAAGCTAAATAGGGGCAAAACTATTTTATTAAAAGCCAACGTCTCGACCCGACTTTGCAGGTCTTCTTCAGGGCTAGAACGGACGAGATACAAAAAGATATGGAGAATTGTGGAAGTTACATAATATTTAGACAAATAATTATAAACAATGTGAATAAGCTTATTATGAATTACATTATGAATAGAGTAAGTTAAGTAACAAGATCATAAACTGAAGTAAATAGATAGTAACAATTGTTGTAGTGTAATATATATGATATATGCAAATGCGAATATACTTCTACAGATCTACAGGAGAGATTGAAAGAAAAGGAAAAAGGGTATAATATGAAATAACAGACATAAAGGAATGTGGAGAAACAAAAGAAAAAACAAAACAAAAAAATTTTTTTTGTCTAAATATTATGTAACTTCCACAATTCTCTACATCTTTTTATATATTGTCCGTTCTATTCCTGAAGAAGACCTGGAAAGTGGGGTCGAAACGTTGGTTTTTAATAAAATTTAGCTAATTAATGACCGCCACCCCGGACCATTTCCTTCCTTTATAATGCAACGGTCAACTATTAAATATTCAATGAATTATTACGATTTTAGTGGAAAGAAAATGATAATTCCTGAGGTTTTATTACTTATTTAATAAAAAAACGCCCTATTTATGAAAATTTGAGTAGATTAAAAAAATTTAGGTTACGATAAAATTAAGAAATATTAGGTAGCTATTAATAATTTGATAAAAAAATGGTTTGTACAGCGGACTAATATATTCATTGTAAATATATTTAATTTAATTATGTATTATTTCTTTCGTACTTATTTTCCTTTTAATCTACCAGATATATATATTTTAATAATAGTACTATTTTATTGATCGGGAGCCGATGACCTAAATGTTTTAGGTCTAAAACATCAAAACAACCCAACCTACCATTTACATGTAATTTTATATACCTAATGATATTATATATCTTTATTTTATAGCAAACTATAAAATTTTAACAATAAAAAAACAGTTTACCAAGGCCTGGTACAATGATAATTTAATGTATGTAACACCATTTTAAGGCTCTGTGTTACATGGAACTTTTTTTTTTTTTAGCAGTTATCAATTTAGTTGTCATCATGGCTTCAAACCTCAATCTGAAATCATTGTGCTGAGAACTAATTGAATCTATTGTTCCATAAAGCAATATGGGACATAGATGTGGTGGATTCACCTATGGGTCACGACTTAATCAAGTTGCTTGATTTTGATTGATTAAGCCTCGACTACTTACTACTTTTGAGTAATTTACTCAAATACCATAGCCGAGCTTGCTATGATATATTTATCACATTTTTAAATAAAAATGTTAGTATTTATGACAGTCTTTGTCAAAATAAGGTAAATGAAGTAGAGTAGCTTCAAGTTTCTTTAGGTACTTAGAATAATAAATTATCCTATTACCCTTAGATATTACTAATTAAAAAATCATATACCTTACGTTGGAATTGAACTGCGAAAACAAGAGAAGTAATGATATCAAAAGTAGAGCCATGGCTGGAAACAGAGCCTACTATAGCCTTCAGAAATGAATGAAATCAACCCTTCTGACCAATAAAACGAGATTGAAAATATACAAGTCTCTGATAAGACTTGTGGTGTGCTATGGAGCAGAAATTTGGACGCTGGAACCAATTAGCCCTAAGATTCTTTGAGAGAAAAATTCTAAGATGTATTTTCGGTCCAGTATACTCTGAGGACACTTAGCGAATCAGGAAGAATATGAACCTGGATGAACATATAGGTCATGAGGATATAGTCAGATTTATTAAATCTAAAGATTTGGCTTGAGTACATTAAAAGTTTGCCGAGAAAGATATTTGAGGAAGATTTTAATAATTGGAATATTGTATAAGAAGGGAGCTAATTTCAACATTGCAAAATAAAAATAAAAAAATAAAAAATGAAACCTAAGTTAGTCGATCAAACAGAGCTCAAACCAACTTTGACCATCTTAGATGGAACCTCTAACAAGGTCATTCATTAAATTGCTGTTTCCTCTACTTTGCAGATTTTTTTTCGTGTTTTTAAAGTTTCCGCCATCAATGCAGCTTTTCTTGGTTCAGTTAGTGTTGAAAATTAATATGTTAATTGATTTGGTGTCAGAGAAGTGCCTTTTGGTGGTCTCAACTTTTTACCTAGTAAAATACGAATTTATAGACCAAACTGTTGCTCACGTATTTATTTAGAATAGAAAATAATTTTACTCTAGGGGCAAAATCCCTTTAGAATAAAAAAAAGTACAAAATTAGAATATTACTACTGGCCTAAATAAAAACAAACACAGAAAATAAAAATAAAGAAAAATATGTAAAGAAAGCATTAGTAAAACATAATATAATATAATATAAACATAATAAAACAAGCATGCTATATAAAAAATCTATATACAAATAACTTAATATGCCAAGACACTTTAAACTATGTTCAGTGGTGTAATATAAATATACAGTTTTAGAAAAAAAAATACATTAAATTCTTCTTAGAAATAAACTTTGAGTTTCTGTAAAAAAAAAAAAGCCGAATCTGATGGTAAAAATTATCTGAGTAATTAAATCATGAGTTATATATAACTAAATCATTATGAATAATATGCAGTTTTATATAAAAGGTTAGCGAGTATCTGAAGGTTTTTGGGACAGGAATTGAAATTGCAGAGTTTTATATGTAGATAGGGAGGGGGGATGTCGAATTTTGATAGCAAGGAAATTCTAGAAATTAACAGAGCGAGCAATAAAGGAGATTTGGAATGAGGCAGATCTGTGAGAAGGGATGTAAAGGTCGGAAGGTCGAGATCTTGTGGAAAGGGAATGAACTGAGGACTTGAATTGGAGAAGGTTGTAGGCGTAAGAAGGACTTGATAGGGTCCATTTGATAGGT